AATAACAACTTATTTATGCAAATACTGGTATGCTAAATGAATTTTATATAGTAATAACTGTAATATTTGTGTTTGTGGCAAAAATTCTGTTTAAATAATTATAGAAAAAAGTTATTAATAATTAATTTTACAAATTATAGACTACAATATATTCAAGCAATTGAAATATTATTGAATCGATTTAATAAATAATATTCTTTATATATTGTGTATTTTTCACATATGTTTTAGACATGATTATAAAATAGCATTTTTGTTACTTTCGAAAATCTGATAAAAATATATAAATTATACAAAAGTTAATTGATTTGAATTCTAATAATTGTGAGTAGTGTATTATTATATATATGTATTTATACACTATAAATTATATTTAACTACAAAAAGCTCATTTATATTGAAAATAAAAAGTAATTTAAGAATACCAAATAATGCCTTTCATGAGTGAATTAAAATAAAATTATTACTTATCAAAAAGAGATATTTAAGCAAATATTTATTTTGTAGTTTTAGAAAATTAATAAGCAAATTATAAATACTGTGTAATAAACAAGTTTACAAATATAGTATCTTTTCATGAATGTAATTTGTAATAACATACTTGATAAAAATTAAATATTTATTTAGTATAATAAATGTACGTTTGAATTGATCGGGGTTTCAAGGAATGAGATACTTTTTGCTTCAATTCCGAGTCATTAATTACAATGTCTATGGGATCGTCGCCTAAATTCAATGCAATGACTACAGTTCCCCCGTCCGGTCGCACAAAAGTGGTTGAATCGAGTTTATTAACAGAAGGTTCGTGTGAAGTAAAAACTCTTTGCGATCCGGGGGTCAAGAATTTGCTGAAATGTCCCAAAGCATAGAAAAATGGCTGTTTGTAGTACTCCTGGCTCTTAGCATTCACTATAATGGGTGCGTCGCAAAGGTTGCCCGCCCAATTGGGACCACCTTGCTCATCCAACGCTATATTCCAGTCCACCCAACCACTTGTCCAGTGATTCAAATCCTAGGAAATAAATAGTAGTTTAAAATAATAACACGAAAGTAATAACATGTGAATAATTCTTACAACAAGAATATCGTTGGCATATCTCTCAAAGGTATCCCAACTGCCCAGATATACGTGTTTGTCGTGATCCCTCCATTCCTCAGCGCCCTCTGTGTTCAGTATGAACTTGGATGGGTCCACCGCATGGGCCTTATCGAGGTTTGGTAAGTTTTCCACTGAATTATCGTACCAATGAAAGGCCACTCCCGACACATATTTAGCCGCTTCTTTGTCGGTGAGTATAGTTTTGGCATAATTGTAGAGCTCAGGCCTTTGGTCGTCACAGATCATGAGCTCAGTTGTGTTGAGTCCATAACCGGCCGCTGAGAGAATGGGTCCCAAATCTAGTTTCAAGAAATCTCTTTGAAGTTCAGGAGTGAATCCCAAACAATTGAATTTATAGTCGGGTTCATCTCCCGCTTTGGGCTCATTCTCCACAGTTATGCCCCACATGGGAAGGCCCTGTGCTTTGTATGCATCCAAAAACCTTGGTTAAATTAATTTTAATCAATATTTATTATTAAATTCAAGATAAACTTACTTCACGATATAATGAGCAAAAGCCTTATATTCTGTACCACCTGGATTTCCCTTCAGATAACCTCCATTATTGAGTTTTCCATTAGTTTTGAGCCACGCAGGGGGTGCCCACGGACTTCCAAAATATTTGACATCTGGGTTTATTGTTTTTGCCGCTTTGAGGTACGGAATCTATACTTATCAAATTAAGTGTTATTTTCATTTCATAAGAATTAATCACTAATAAAATATAATAATATATTGTATTTAAAGTACTTTGTAATCGGAATCTTCTTTAGCGAAACTGAAGTGATCGAAGGCATAATCACTCGTAAAGTTGTCGTCATAACTGTAGGCATGGGTCGAGAAGTCTGAGCCTCCGATGGGAATGCGTCCCAAATTGTACTCAATTCCAGATTTAGAGAAATAGTCACTAATTATACGGTTTTGTAGTTTTTCGGGAAGAGTTTTCATGTTAAGTCCGGCGGAGTCTGTGAAGGCGCCCCCAAAACCAATAATCTTCTGATAAATTCCTTTACTTTTGTCAACAGTTATTGTCTGCGATTTGTTTGCTTTAAACCCAGAATTGTCTCCAAATTTGAATTCTGTTTTCTCCAACCGATCGCCACTTTTACTCGTCTCGAAGACAGTGACCACACCTTTGGTGGTGATCTTCAGAGCATCCAAATCATCACAATGTGTTAGATTACAGACACAGACTGTCGATCCGTAGCCAAAATCTTTGTGAACACAAGGCTCACGAGAAAAGACTAAGAAAATAAAATTGTTAATTAATAAAATATTTTATCAATTCTGTTTTCTCCAACCGATCGCCACTTTTACTCGTCTCGAAGACAGTGACCACACCTTTGGTGGTGATCTTGAGTGCATCCAAATCATCACAATGTGTTAGATTACAGACACAGACTGTCGACCCATACCCGTAGTCTCTTTGAATACATGGCTGACTAGAATTGACTAAAAATATAATATACGTTATTACTTAAATAAATATAACCAAAATATTTTAGATTGAAATTCTTACCAAACACGATAAACGACAATAATATAATAATACACTTCATATTCATTTACTGTAATATTTATATAGGATATTTTAAATTAAATAAATAATTATAATAAATATTTAATTTATATATTCCACAATATGTACATAATGTGAATAATTGAATACTTTATGATACTGGTTATTTTAACTTGAAAGTAAAAATGTGTTTTCAAGGATTTTTTATTATATAGACTGTTGATATCTGTTGGAAGTACCTGAATATATCGTTAACTCAAACATATCAATAATACTTATCTTAAAATAATACTTTTTATATATTGATTTTCAATTATTTTTAACAATCTCTCAAAAGCTACAAATTAGAGTACATGTGTACACATTTCTGCTGTTATAATTAGATATATTAATTATTTAATTACTATAAACAATCAGGATAAGTTTTGGCGGAATTTTTGGTTTAATAAATTCTTTTAAATTATTAATAAATGTCCACTTAAGAGCCAGAAAGTATGAATCTAAAACTGTGCTAATATAGATAACAGTTCTC